CCGAGGGTGGAAGGCATAACCAGATCGTCCAACACAAGCGGCGCCGGGGTTCTGACCCTGTAACCTGTGTAGGGGTTTGTCGCTATGGGAATTGCGGAGGGAGGAAGGCACTTCCTATCCGACAGAACTAGGTTGGTCGGTACTGGGGAAGGTTGCGGTGCCCTGTTACCCATGCAGAAGGGGGTATGAGACCAAGTGTGTTCTGGTTCGAGGACCGAAAGTCGAGACCGACGGCTCCTTTGTTGAGGGGGGGACTTTAGGATGGTTGGTATTTCGTTTTGACTTCCCCCCCTTCTTTTTTTCTTTTTACAGATGGCTGTTCGGGGGTCTTAAGAATGCTTTTGGGCTCTCGGGATCCCTAGCAACTTTTCTCAGGTGGTTTTTGATGCTGTTATACTCAGGGACCTGTAGCTGCTCGATGCCAGAACGACGCTAGCCGGAGCTGGGGTGTTACCCTGTGACTTGCGATGCAGGAGCATGAGGCCGGGTAGAGAGATCTGGGGATGCTTAGGGGTGGGCATCCTACGAAACAACTAAGGGTTGCTGCTGGGACGACGCTGGTCGGAGCTGGGGTGAGTTGTGTCACCTTGTAACCTAGCAGGATGTGGGGTGTGAGACCTGGAAGAGCTCAGCAGGGAGTAGGACAGTGTTGAAAGGCCTCGGAAGGAGCGTTAGGGATTCCAAGGGTTTCTGAGCATTTCTAGGGCTCGCCAGACCTTTTTATGTTTTCAATTACGAATTTTTACGTAGTTAAATTCAATTCTCAAAAAAAGGTTCTGTCCTTAAAAAGTCTTATGGATCCTGGGGTTTCATGGCAATCTCTTCTAGATAGTTTTAAGGCTGTAATACTCGATGGCCTAAGGCTGTTCGATGCTAGAACGACGCTGGCCGGTGCTGGGGTGTTGCCCTGTAACCTGTTGATGCAGGGGCATGAGGCCTGGTAGAGAGATCTGGGGGTGCTTTGGGGGGCATCCCACGGGACAACCAAGGTTTGCTGCTGAGACGATGCTGGCCGGAGCTGGGGTGAGTTGTGTTGCCCTGTAACCCAGCAAGATGGGGGGTGTGAGGCCTGGAAACTGGGCAGGGAATACGACAGTGTTGGAGATACTTGGAAGGATCTGTTAGGGATTTTGCGGGATTGGGGGCTTTTTTAGGACTTTGCAGTCTATTCCCGTACTTTTTCTGAGTAACGGGAAGGTAAGGGATCGAGAGAGAAAGGTATCACGCGTCCTGCTAGTGAAGGGGCTAGCTGGTAGGACAGAAATAGGGCATAGCATCAGTAGAGATGGTAGGTTTGTTGCAGTAAGTCTTGCCGGAGTGGGGTGAGGAGGACTGTTGGTGGATTCCCGAGTCTTCTTCTGGTTTTTGTTTCTCTCTGAATGTTCCTTACAAAAAAGCTATGAAGTAGCCTCAGTATACCCTTCGTTTCATTGTCATGAAATTTTATGATGGTTTTTCTGAACGTACTCAAGGGACGCTGGGCCCGGTTCCCAGTTCGTGCCAATTTGAGAGGATATGGTTGTATCTATGGGACGCTGGACCCGGTTTCCAGAAGGTGCTGCTCCCCACCAATAAAAAAATAAAATAAAAAAATAAAAATTATCATGTTCTCTTAAAAAAAAAAAAAAAAAAAAAAGTTTGTCATCGTGTACCTCGATGACATACTTATTTTTAGTAAGACTGTCGAGGAGCATGTTGCACATCTGGACAAAGTTCTCAGTCTCCTGCGACAGCACAAGTTCAAGATCAACGGTGAGAAGTGCGAGTTTGGCCGCACCCGTGTCTTGTACTTGGGTCATGAGATCTCCGCGGAAGGTTTGAAGCCTGATGACGCGAAGGTGGCCAGCATTCGTGATTGGCCACGTCCTCAGCCTGTGACTGAGATGAGATCTTTCTTAGGAATGACTGGCTACTACAGAACTTTTGTAAAGAACTATAGCATAGTGGCCGCTCCTTTGACTGATCTGACCCGCCCTGACACCCCGTGGGAGTGGACAGATGAGTGCGAGACTGCTTTCAGACATCTGAAGCATGCGTTGACGCACTACGAGGTCTTGAAACTTCCTGATCCTGACAAGCCGTTTATAGTCACCATGGATGCCAGCCAATACGACATTGGCGCCATGCTCGCGCAGCAGGAGGGGCCAAAGTTGAGGCCAGTCAAGTGCATGTCGAAAAAGATGTCGTCTCAGAAGTTGGCAAAGTCCACCTACGAGAAGGAACTCTACGCCGTGTACAAGTCTCTTACCCATTGGAGACACTATCTCCTTGGGAGGTTCTTCATCCTCAGGACTGATCATCAGACCCTGTGATGGATGAGAACTCAGCTAGTACTATCTGATGCTCTGAAGCGTTGGATCGAAGTCATTGAGCAATATGACTTCGACCCCCATCTCAAAGGGGAGTACAATAAGGTGGCTGATGCCTTGTCGCGTAGACCTGACTTTTCAGGTGCGCTGATTACTGAGTTCGATCTCACGAACAATGTTACTCGCTCTTTGGTGGATGCCTATCGCGAGGATCAGTTCATGTCTGAGATCATACGCAGACTCCATGCAAAGGACAAAAAGACCTCTGCCGAGTTTGAGTTGGTCAATGACTTGCTGTTCCTTGAGAAGGATGGGAATAAACGATTGTGTGTCCCGAGTAGCGAGTCTTTGCGTAGTTTGTTTTTAGGCGAATGTCATGATGCCACCAACCATTTTGGGTATAAAAAGACCGCAGCCAACCTGTTGCAGTGGTTCTGGTGGCCCACGATGATGCGAGATGCCCAGCTGTACGTGGAGACTTGTCAAGTTTGTCAACGGGACAAGCCACGTACTCAGGCTCCTCTTGGGCTGTTGAAGACCCTTCTGATTCCGGAAAGGCGTTGTGAGAGTCTGTCCATGGATTTCATGGATACTCTGATCACCAGTAAGAGTGGGATGCATCACATCTTTGTCATCGTGGATAGATTTAGTAAGTATGCTAGGTTAGTAGCCATGCCAGAAACAGCAAGAACGGAGTACGTGATCCGAATGTTCAAAGAAAACTGGGTTAGAGACTTTGGTTTACCCAAGTCTATTGTCAGTGACAGGGATGCTGCAGAGCCGACCACTTAGTTGCAAATGACTTCTGCGAATCACCAGAGGCCAATGGCCAGGCCGAACAACTGAACCGCACTGTACAACACCTGTTGAGGCATCACATCAAGCCCAACCAGGTGGATTGGGATGAGAAGCTTGCTCTCATCGCCAGTCTGTATAACAATGCGGTACACAGTGCCACTAGGGTGAGCCCGAACAGTCTACTACTGACTTTCAAACCTAGACTACCTCTTGACTTTCTCCTACCTGAGAATGAATCAACTGCTGCACCGGGTACATTAGAGTTTGCCTACAAATACGAACAGAAAATGCAGCAGGCGGTAGATTAGATGCAGAAGGGACAGGCCGCGATGATAGAGTCGAAAAACAGACACCGCCGGCCTTCTACATTTCAGGTTGGGGATAGAGTCTGGGTTAAGTCTTCAGAACTGGGACAGGAGTACGGGATATCCCGCAAACTCATGCCTCAATACTTTGGACCTTGGGAAGTCTTGGACATCGTCGAGACAGATCCAGATGGGCCATCTTATGTTATCCGGATTCCTAGTCATCTTCGTACTTACCCTGTCTTTCACGCCTCCAAGCTGGCACCTTTCAAAGAAACTGACCAGTTTCCATCTCGCCGCTCAATGCTGCCCCCAACCATGGATGGAGAGGTGGACATTGATGATATTGTGGATAGCCGTGAGCTGCCGGTATCAAGACCAGCAGGCAGGGGACGTCCTCCAAAACCGAAGCTGCAGTACCGCGTTCGGTTCCGGCATCACACTGATCCGAAGGAGGACCGATGGTTCACCAGGGAGGAACTGATGCAGACCGCTCCTCAAGTTGTGACTCAATACGAGAGATCTCTACAGAAGGGAAAGCGCCCTATGATCAAAGATTGAGCTTCTCAGAGGACTGTTGAAGCTAAGGAGGAGGGAATGCGAGACCACTGCCTATAAGAGCCCCACAAGGCCCCATTTTAACAGCCCGTCGGCCGCCCTAAGTGAAGGCAGGCTCGACGAGGCCCTCAGGGCCCTTTTCTGGCCACCACACAACTCAGGGAAATTCAGGCAGTTGCGCAGCGCCAGTTGGTTGAGTGAACCCTGGCCCTGGGCCGCCTGCGTGAATGCATGTGAAACAGGCCCTGGGCTGGATACGGGTATCGGGCCAAACACAGGCCGAAAGCAGTTGGGCACATGCAACCACTTCAGGCCCAAGGCCTGCTCCTCTCGTGCTGGGCCTCAGGCTACCGGGGCCTACTGGAAGCTTCCTGGATTGGACGCAGGAGGCCACTTCGATATAGGGAAGGGCCTGCCTCCTCATTCGACATTCGGGTGCTGGCTGCATGTTGCGCAAACGCTGCTGCTGCGCTATTTGCTGGTTGGCGCCTACGCTCTCACGGGCGAACAGGGAAGGAGCACGCAGCCATAGCCAAGCTGCGCTGCTGTAAGCTGGGTGAGGCACAGGGTGGTCCTTGGGTGCTAGTGGCATCTGTGAGTTGGGGAACGAGGTTGYGAGTGTAGCGCGAGACATACCTGGTGCTGGAAGCGTGCGACATTGGTCGCCATATGCTCGTACTTCGGGAATGCTGTTGATGTCATCTTTCAGCTTTGTAGTATAGGCTAGACAGGATCTGCCACATGTAGTCTGGGCGCCGAGCGCCAGATAGGATATCAACTATGGTTCTTTGTTGATGATGATGGGACTATTTCAACATTGTCAATTATGAACTCTTGGTGTGTTCTTATTTGGTGTATCTCGTGATGCAATTCTGTTGTTGGTTCAAGGTCAAGACTATCTGGACTCATATGTATGATGTTGTTTGATTGCTGGAGTTCGCTATTGCTCATCTTCCTTGCAGAAGGGAAAGCTGCGTGCGCTCTATCAGCCAATTATTCGTGGGCAGGCAGTGGTGCTCGATCTGCCATTGCAGCAAGGCCATTTTTGCTGGCCTAGATCTTGTAGCAGTGAACCATCGGATGGGGCGGATTGCATCCGTTCCTACATTCAGGTGAGACCTCCACTCCTACATTCAGGTGAGACCTCCACCGAGCTTTCACCGTTTCTTTTATGTTCACCTTCGGTCGCAGCAAGCGGTATGTGGCCTTCACTGTTAAGGAGGACAACTGCCAATTCTCCCCCGTTCTGGATTTACGCGGAGAGGCCCACTGCCATTCCACGGGGTCAAACGGGAGCTCTGTCACAGGGGTCTTTGGTTGGACGCAATCCACTTGTCTTTTTTTTCCGAGAGTACCTAAACCCTGAGCAGTTCTATGTTTCGCTGCCATCTCGTTGCTTCTGGGCTGTATCGAGTGAGAATATTGTCCCTGTCTATGTGGAAGAGGTTGATCAATGTTTCGTCAGAACGCACCTCTACCACACTGCCCACACTTTCCGGATCCCCTGGAACCACCACCCAATCCCCCTCCTTTAGCTGCGGCCCCCTGCGTAGGATGCGCACCCAATCCAAGGGAGTTGCAAAGGTCAGCAGGTCTAAATTTTCCTCAACCTTATGACAACGTTTTAATACAGTCTTTAGCTGCAGTGCCGTTTTCCAGTTCCTCTTTTCAATGTCCCATATGTCCTTTATTCTAATTGTCTTTTTTGACCCAGCTGTTCCACGGAGTGTCTGAGCTATGGTACACCCTACTGTGTCTGTCGGTCACCCACCTGTTCTCGAACAGAGGTTGGCGCATCACTTCCTCGGAAGTTCCTCCCACTTTGTCGGCGGAGGTCTGTTAGGTAGTGGGAGGCTACGCCAAGCCTTTAGGACTCGCACCCAGAAGTTGTCCTTGATCAGATCCGAGCGGGCCGCGTCTCGGGACAGAGCATGATCCGTCCGGTGGCCCGTACGAGGGCACCTTGGCACTGTCCAAAAACGGTCCTCCAACCAGGTCAGCGGGTTGACCCCCTGCGGTGCTTGTGGGGCGAGACGCGCAATCTGTTCCAACGCCAAGGCCTGCCAGGGAAGATGCTGGGCGAAGAGAAATCTCCTCACCCATTGGACGACCAATGCCGCAATCTGGGTCTCCGGGTCCAGGACCCCCAGGCCCCCTCTGTCTTTAGGCTAGATTACCGATGCCCAAGCTACCCTGTCTTTAGGTTGGAAGCTCGTCGTTGCCTCTCCACAGCAGGGCTGTTAATTGCCTCTTCAAAGGCCTGACGGCGTCCTTACTGAGGGCCCAAATTGCAGATTTGTACCAAAAGGCCGCCAACACAACACTGTTGATCGCAAGCACCCTGCCAATAAGAGAGGTATGCCGGTCTTTCCACTGGGCCAGGTCTAGGGCGGGTTTCAGGATGCACTCGTCATTTGATGCGGGTTTTCCTAATGTTGTTAGCATGATCCCCAACACTCTAACCCGGGCGGTTTCCGGAGGCCATTTGACTTGTGGCGACTCTGGGGGGCGCACCCCTTGATGGTGGATCCACCATCCCAAGGTTTTGCTTCCCCAGTTGACCGTCATGTCCGAGACCATTGTAAATCAGTCGAGGAGTAGCCTAATTTCTTCTATGTTTGCTTTCGTGGCCTCCATCATGAAGGTTAGGTCGTCCGCAAACAATGAGCAGACAGAGATTGCGTCTTTCGGGATAGCCGAAATCTGCAACCGCTTCAGATCTTTGTTTTCACGAAGATTTGCTGACAGCGCCTCCATTACTATTATAAAGAGGAATGGTGCCAACGGGTCCCCCTGGCGCACCGAATGTTGCAGCGAGAAGGCTGGCGCAATCGTGCCATTAACTTGGACGCACGTGGTGGCGTTATGATGGAGTATTTTTGTCCAGCGCCGGAACGCCGGACCAATGTTCATTTTCTCCATACATTTATCCAAAAACAACCAATCCACATGCTCAGACGCTTTTTCAAAGTCAATGAAGACTATGGCAGCGTTTCACTTATTTTGTCTGGTTAGTTTCAGAAGCTCATTAACTAGCAGGATATTGTCATGGATTCTGCGTCCTTTGACAAACCCAGTCTGTGTTGGATGGATGATGTCGTGCAAGACTGGGATTAAGTGGTTGGCCAAGGCCTTCCCCATCATTTTATAGACGACGGTAAGTAGGGTTATCGAGCGGTAGTTTCTGATGTCCATTTTATCCCCTTTTTTGTGTAGCAAGGTAAGAACACCTTGTCCTACCAATTCCCCCATCCGACCTGTTTCCCACACGTGCTGGTAAAATTTCATGAGGTCCGGGCCCATCAGAGTCCAGAAGGATTCCCAAAATTCCTTAGGAAGCCATGCCCGACGTCTTTTCTTCGTCCATCTGCATCAGCGCCGTCCAAATTTCCTCTTTAAACAAGGGGAGATCGAGCTTTGTGCTCTGATGGCTTGTCAGGGTTTTCTCCAATGGTTTCAGGAAGTCCTCGATTTCCTTCTTCCTAACATTTTCCTCTCGTCTAGCGTACCTTGAGGTGAACAAGTCTTTAAAAAAGGTTTTGGCTATGTGTGTGCAATGGGGGGTGGAGGTGACAGTGTCTTGGTGTCCGGTCTGTGGGTCATATAGTGCCTCTATGGTTGTTCTGCGTGAGCGGGCCCGGGCTATGCTAAATAATTTTTTATCCATTGGGCCCTCTGTTTGAAATTTTGTGAGCCTTCCTCTTATGCGTGTGCCCTCCCATCTTTGTGTGGCGAAGAACTGGAGTTGCTGTTGCAGTCGTTGTACCTCGAAATCCTCTCCTGACCGCGAATTGTGGTTGTGTTGTGAGTTGTTTAAGCTGTTTGGTAGGTCTTGATACTCCAGTTGTTGCAGTTTCTGGTGAATTTCCATCTTCTGCCGGTGTTTTCTAGTTTCTTATATTTTAGAGTACTCGTGGGATTTTTTCCTTAGATAGAACAGGCCATTGTTGAACCAATCAATCTCCAGCGGTATATTATGTTTTTGTGTATGCCAAAATGTCCAGCAGTCCTTTAAATAACTTTGAAAAGTTTTCTGTTGTAGGAGGGTTGTATTAAGTTTGTAGAAACCAGGACAGTGATCGGTTTTTTTGCGGAAAGAAAGAATGACTGTGCACATTTTGTGGTCAATGCCCAGATATGCGCTCGCCGGTAAGATTGCAGCCAGAAGCAGCGCGCCTTCCATGTCTTCCGAAATCAGGATTAAGTCAATCCTGGATCTTG